ATATATTCTCTCAATATGTAGACTCGAATCTTTATTAGGTACAATATTGGAAATAGTACTAATTCTTGAGTTACAATTTACATACTTCTTTCAAAATTTGACAAACTTCATGGCCATAATTATTACGGATATACGAAAAGGTAAAAATAAAATAATGATCTTTAGAATAATAACTTCATTAAGGAACATCCAGAAATATTGTTCTCAAAAGCTGACAAAGGGAATATGACTGTTGCTCTTAATAAATTTGATTATACCAACAAGATGGAATTGATGCTCTCTGATAAGAATACTTATGAAATGACTAACAAAGATCCAACAAGAAAAATTATCAATGATTTACGTGATATTTTAGTTAGATGGAAAAAGAAAGGGTTTATAGATGACGCTACATATAAAAATTTACTTAACACTGACGGCAATACTCCAAGGGCGTATGGATTAACAAAAATTCATAAGATTAATTACCCTCTTCGAATTATAGTATCATCAGTCAATAGTCCATTATACAATTTATCACTTTATTTACACAAGATAATTAATGATTCTATAAAAAAACCTTTGAGTCATATAAAAAACAGTAGTGATTTAATTGATAAATTGAGAAATATTAAACTGGAAACGAATTCATCACTAGTCTCATTGGATGTTATTTCCCTAATGTTAGTTCACTAACATACCTATAGACTTGGCATTTGATAGTGTTGTTAAAAGGTGGGACTCTATTTCCATAGGGACGAGAATTACATTAGATGAATTCATGTGTTACGTCCAGCGGACTCACGCTGCCTCTTTTCTTTTTCTCACGGAGACCTAGGGATTATCAACCCCTAGGACTTCTAAGAAAAGTAATAAAAATCTCTTCCCATGAGAAAATTTAAAGTAAAAAGACTCCAGTATCTACATTAATGCCAGATAAAATAGAGTTGGAATCGGTGAACGACGGGAGCTAATGCACCGCCGATGACACTTCCCTTGGACAGCGCCATTAAAAACGGCAGTTAATGTCAGTACTGGCGCCTAAACATTTTCCTGACAGGCAAGTCGCGGACGATTCTCACGATGTCCGCGACCATAAAATATAAATGTGACATGCGAAGTCCAGGGAAAGTGTTTGACGGGCGCGTGCCGACAGTGCACGTGCGCTCGTCTTAATCGGTGCACGTGCATTTTCCCATAAATTTAAGAAAGTCATAAACTAAGATGACACTTGGTTATACCAACCGACTTCTTTCCTCCCCCATAATCTCGACCAACCCAAAATCCCGAAAGTCATCCCACCACCTAAATTTGAACCCCACTAATTAAGAAAAACCGCTATATAAACCACGGTTCCGCGGTCCTGAGCATCTTTTTTTTTTCTTAGTCTCTCCTTTTAGTCTCTTCTTTAGTTTTGCGGCCTTTATAATCTTTACCGAGAGCTTTGCAGTATAATTCTCAGGGTTAGTCGAGAAGCTACCCACCTAAATAAAACGAATCGAGTCTGAGTCTCGGGCGACTCCATTATTAATTAAAATAGAGTCAGTGATCCAACGCCCCGAGGTCTCCAACACATACGCCGACTTCCAGGCCCCCTGAAGGCTCTTCACTAAACCCAGCTCTGATCTCATCAAATAGTAAGCGAACGTCGCCCCTTTTCTTTTCTTTTTTTTTCTTTTATCTCTTTTCTTTTCACTCCACTCACTTTTAGGAACTCGCGTCCGGTTTTGTTCCTATAATTGCTCTATTGTCCTTAATTATTTTCCCCTTAAAATTCAATATATCAACCTTGCAGTGCGTTCAAACAAAACCACCGGTCGTCCCCTTCGTCGTTCGGTCATAAGGTACGCCTGGACGACCCGCAGAACGGCACGTGTTAGCGCCAATTTCCCGGAGGCTCGTCAGTCGCCAAATC